TTAGAATAAGATATCAAAAGTGTCACCCCCCTTAATTTTTATTTTTAAAACTATCGATATAAGGTTGCCACTCTTACTGACTATATGATTATATGTATACCTATTCGAGAAGTCACATGAAGAACATCGACAAGAACAGACGCCAAAGTTTTCTCTTTAATTTTGTTTAAATAAATTCATTTCAATCGCTAAAGAGTGTGTTAAATTACTAGATGAGTGGAGTGACATATATTGCGGTGGCTTATTGACCATAAGTCGGTCTTTCGAGCCCCATAACCCTACTTGGTGTAACCCTTAAACAGGTAACTGCCCCAACACCTAAACGGCTGAACGGATTTTGATGAAATTTGGTATGGTGATAGATGATAACTTAGAAATCCTAATAGGCTATAAATAATCACGCCATCGTTCTTAGGTGGTAAACAGCAGGTGGCGAAACGGAATAATCACGCAATCGTTCTTATGGGGTAGGCAGTAGGCATTACGTTTTAAGTAAAAAGGTTTGCTTTATCAAAGTTTTTATAAAAAAATTGTCTTACGTTGTAGTTTTTAAAACTCCCGTTATTGTTTTCGATATGCCACGCAAACGTAAATCCAATCTAAGCAGTATTTCTAGCAGAGGTCGAGCTGCAAAAGTTGTTAGGGGCCAAGAATCTGAAGAGCAGACTCGGACGCGTCAGATGTTAGATTCTCAGCGTCATGCGACTCAAAGAGCTTCTGAGACCTATGCGCAGACTCGGACCCGTCAGACCCTGGATGCTGAACGCCAAGCATCTCAAAGAGCTGCTGAGACAGTGGAACAGACTCAGACACGTCGAGTTTTAGATGCCGAACGTCACGCGCAATTGTTTGCGGCAGAGTCTGTGGAAGATTCACAAAGACGACGTCTTTTAAATGCTGAGCGGCAGGCAGAAAGAACACGTACGTTATCAATGAGAACGTGGGAGGCGTTTAATGGTGCCTCTTTTGAGTATGACCCTTTGATCGACTATGTTAATCACCGATTGGATATCATTGGGAGAATGGATAAAAAATGCAGATATTGTGAAGCACTGAAATGGAAAGAAGGATCTCCAGGTATGTGCTGTTCTGGTGGAAAGGTTAAAATTCCATTACTTGGCGAGCCAGAGGAACCTCTCAAATCTTTACTTTTATACGACAGTAACGAATCGCGCCGGTTTTTAAACAGGATTAGAAGGTATAATTCTTGCTTTCAGATGACGTCATTTGAAGTAGATAAGGAGGTCGTAATGCCTGGATTTTCACCTACTTTTACCATCCAAGGACAGGTGTATCACAGAATTGGTTTCTTACTTCCCGCAAATAATGAACAACCAAAGTTTTTGCAACTTTAAAAAAAAAACCCGGGCGAAGCTGGGACGGGCAGCTAGTTTTTTATAAAGTCTGTACTTTAAATATGTAAGGTGTGTCAACGCTTGGTTTATTGGATGTAGACGGAATGTAGCGAAACACACGAGTTAAAAAAAGATTAATTGAATAATTAAGAAATTGTATTGGCATCTTTCATATTATCGGAGGAGTAGAGATTGGACCAGTTATTGCCAGATATAAGTATTAGAAAGTTAGTCCTGGGAAAATAAAAGACAGCTTAGCTGTCTTTATAGAATTAACTTTAATTGTTTTACATGTGTCGATAGCTACAACAAAAGCAGGATGATACGGATCTTCAGGCAGCGCAGGTGGTTTTGCTGTGAAAAGAAACACATCTTCAGGATTTGAGGCAAGGTAAAAATCAAGTAATCGATTTATTGAGTTTCGAACATAATGTACTTGATACAGAGCTATGTCAAGTAGACCGTCAATGAATTCATTATGCCATTAAGGCTGCAACGCATCGGAACCACGCAGTTCCAAGTGTATTAAAATCACCAAGAACTTTGCCTTATCGGACAAAAAACTTGAAATTGACTTTATAACAGATAGGTGTCTTAAATAATCCGTGAGATGGGACGAAGGAGGTATGTATGGGCAAGTAATAGAGATTACCCTGCGAAAAAGGACAGTTTATATTCTTATTTTATAAATATATTGTTCTTAAATACTATTATATTGTTCTTAAATTCTTATTCAAATTTCACAAAATCCTTTGTCAGTACCTCTCCTGACGTGACGTTAGCGTCCAGTGCAATAGGGACGCTTCACAAGCTTCACAGCAGAAGTGTAAACCTCGGCCTTTACTAAGGTCATCACTTGTCCGCCCTGTAAATCCATTGCACTTAGTTTGCACCATCTGGTCCCAAAGCCAATAAGTGGGTTTGGCCTATTCAGACTTAATTACATGACGACAGTTCTTTTTTAAAGCAGAAAATATAAGTTTTCAGGAAGATAATATTAGGTTGTTTGGTAATGATACCGGTTTCTTTATTGATTTTTTACGACGATTTTAACATAGTTAGCATTTTCCGATTTAAGTGCTATATGTACCGTTGTCTTCGTTGATTTTCTGCCATTTTGATGGTAACTTGTTTATGCCTCTCCTAAAGAAGTCCTTGTCCCTACTGGCAAAAAACTCGGCGATTCGATTTTCACAATCGTCCCTTGAACTCAATATTTGTCCATCGAAAAAATTTTGCATGGCCAAAAACAGATGGTAATTGCTTGGGGCAATGTCCGGACTATAAGGTGGATGCATTAACACTTCCCAACCAAGCTCCCGTAGCTTGTGACGCGTCACCAAAGATGTATGGGGCCTGGCGTTGTCATGATGGAACACAACGCCCTTACGATTCACCATGGTTGGCCGCTTCTGTTCAAGTGAAATCTTCAATCGCTCCAGTTGTTCACAGTAGAGGTCAGAATTGATGGTTTGGCCATAGGCCAACACTTCATAATGGATAATTCCTCTGAAGCCGTCAGTCCTGGCTTTGCCACCGTTTAAGACGACTCACCGTGCTTCGACCAGGATCTTTTACGCTTTATGTTGTCATATGTCATCCATTTTTCATCACCAGTGACTAACCGATCCAGAAATGAGTTTATTACGGTGCAACAAAGATTCGCAGATTGAGACACGGTCGAAAAGGTTTCTTTGGGATAACTCATGAGACACCCATACATCCAGCTTTTTTGTTAAATTTTTCGACTTTAAATGCCTATGGACTGTTTCCGTGCTTAGTTGCAGCTCCTCTGCGATGGTTCCAATAGTCACATGACGATCTCGATCCACTATTTCCATGATTTTATCCGTATCAACGGTCACTGGTCGTCTGGAGGGCTTGTGTGTTTCGGTATCAAAATTGCCACTTCGGAATCACCTAAACTACTGTTCGGCGGTTTGAATCGAAAGTTTGTTATCTCCTAAGACAGCAATAATCTGTCTGCGAGATTCCGCAGCAGTTTTTCCCTGTGCGAAATAAAATTTCAAAATTGCCCGAATTTCTGCGTTTGTGAACTCTATTTCAATCGATTGTAATTTTTTAACGTGGAAGCTCATGTAAACAAACTGTATGTCATTTTAAAGGTGATGCCAATACCTTTCAAATGATACACAGCATTGCCAGATACGATTATATTTGACTTCACAAGCAAAGCGCGAAATTTGAATGTAAAAACCGGTATGTCATTACCAAACAACCTAATATAAGTGTCCGTGTTTTTACTAATACCGACAGTGGTCTAATCGAAACGACTCTTGAATTACGAATTAAATTTGATCAAAATCGGACAATCAATCGACAAATCATATAGCTCCCATATTATCTATAGTCGAAAATATGGAAAATGAATAGAACAAGAAAGGAAGCTAGCATCGGCAAGCCGAAACTTATATACTCTTGCCGTCATTAAATATGTCGAACAAAATACACAAAGGCTAAACAACATCGAAGCTATGACGATTCTTCTATTCATTTTCCATATTGTTCATATGACAGTAATATGATATAGTCGTCCGATTTTGATGAAATTTAATTTGAAAATCAAGACTCATTAGAAAACTCTATATTCCAAAAATCATGATTGTCTGACGAAAAACAACGAGGTAATCATTTTATTTCCGTTATTTCCATATAGATTTTTCGATCTTTCCTATGGCAGCTATTAGTGGAGTATTATATCACTCTAATTTTTATGAAATTGCTTTCTCGATTAAAGAGTATTTAAAAAACTTGATGTTTCAAAAATCATGCTCGTGGGATTAAAAACAACGACGTTATAATTTTTTTTCTATTATTTATATATATATATATATATATTGATCTCTCCTATGAGATTATTATTTTATCTGATTTTGATAAAATTTAATCCGAAATTTAATAGCAGTTAGAAAATGCCATCTGGAAGAAATGAAGTCGATCCGATCAAAAACAGCTGCCTGAGAATTTTTTATTTCGTTCTCTCGTATTTGAGCTATCCGATATAGACGGCCGATCCGGCTCGTTCCGACTTATATACTGCGTGCAATAACTACACACCTTTTGGTAAAGTTTCAGTAAGATAGCTTTAAAACTGAGAGACTAGTTTGAAGAGAAACGGACAGACGGACAGACGGACATACAGACAGACAGACAGACAGACGTACATACATATTTGGATTCTGATCGTGATGCTGATCAAGAATATATATACTTTATGGGGTCCTTCACTGCGTTGCAAACTTCTGACTGAAATTATAATACCCTTTGCTCTGCAAGGGTATAAAAATCGTCTTAGCTTCGATGTTGTTTAGCCTTTATGTATTTTGTTCGACATATTTGATGACTGCAAGGGTATATAAGCTTCGGCTTGCCGAAGCTAGCTTCCTTTCATGTTTGTTAAATATTTTTGACAAAAATGAAGGGGTACATAATGGCAAAATTCTAGATTTCACATTTTAACCATTAAAAATTATGTACATTCTTATTTCTTTAAATTTTACTTTGATATAACAAAACATTTAAAACGACTTCAATAAAAAAATAAGGTTAAGAAAAACCTGGCAGCTGAAATTCTTTAGTTAGTATTTTGACCTCTATGTAAGCATATGTGTCCCGAAAAACTCATTAAGCGCGTCTTGCAATTGCAAGATTAACCAGCGGAAGTAGTTTTATTGTTAAAATTTTTGTTGTATAATGGAAGCATATACATTCCCTTAAAACATAATGTTGCTGGTAAGAATAAAACCCAGTCCTTTTGTTTTACATTGTTTAATCTAAGTTGAAATTATTTTCCTTAATCTCTCATATTTCATTAGATATTTCTGAGAGCTGAGGCATTTGAGTCGTTTTTTGCATATATTGCTTTAGGCCAGGCACGATGCTTTTGGGGTGTTGATGATGGATACTTTTGTAAGTTTGCAACCTAGACCGACTATTTCTCTTTTCATGTCCTTGCAGTTCTAGCTTTAGCCAGTAAGGAAATGTTTTACTTTCAATCCTTTTTTGGAACGAGTGATGAAGAAATTCCATCGAACCACAATGAAGCTGCTTACGAAGTACGTAGTACACGCTTCGTCCATTAAAATTTGCGCAACGTGGGACTATATTTTTATTGATTTTATAAGTCGTTACTATCCTGCACGAGTTGGGATTTCCGCTGATGTCATTCCTACAGTTCTCTGCTATAGGACCTCGCATTACATTTGTAATACGCGGTGTCCAGTTACTCATTTGGCAGGTGCAGTGCCAAGGATTTTGGTCAAGGCGGACTACTCGCAACCGGGGCAAGTAAAAAAAACTGTATGAAAGCGATGTAAGCTGGTTCCCCTGCAATTGAACCTCATGAAGCTGTAGCTGCTCATCAAGCAGCCCTGGGGGAAAATAACTAAGACAATTATGACTTAAATTAAGCAGCTGCAATTTTTTCGCCCCAATAAAGGCATCCATTGATAACTCCCGTATCATGCAGTGGCTTATGTCGATGTCCCTTAGTTTTTCCATTCCTGCAAATGCATCATATTGTATGCTGATTATACTGCCACGCAATGTAAGAATTTCTAAGCCGTAAAGACCCTGCAATATATTTTAGAGTTGAGATTTATATTTATACCACAAATAATTTTTTTTAACCTTAAACAACCCCTGCTCCATTGCTTCGGTAGAAACATTACTCAGACTTAGCGTTTTTAGTTGAAAAAGGGAATCGAACTGTCCGTAAATGTTCCAAGTTCGCAGATCAAGCGCCTCCATTTCGCTACCCATTTTTAGCTCTCTAGTGGAGTTCATTACCCAAAATGTTGCCGGAAAAATGTGTTTAATTGGATTATTTCGCAGATCTGCTTTAAGTAATTTTGGAAGAGGAGGGAAACATTGTTCGCTCAAGCGGCTTAATTGGTTGTCTGAAAGATCAAGTATCTCCAGATCAAGCAGTCCAGCCAAGCTTAAATAATGTAATCGAACCAACGCATTTTGAGCTAGTGAAATACTTTTAAGATGCAAAGCCCCCGAGAAGGCGAAAGATGGAAGCTCCTTAATTGCATTCCGTTCTAGACTGAGGTATTTTAAGTTCGTTAAACCATTAAACATTTGCCAGTGAATCTCTTTTAGATGGCATCCATGAATGCGCAAAACTTCTAGTTTGTCCCATCCGTAAAAACTTGGCATTCGAGTCTGTTTTAGTTTTTGCACGTGTTCTTCATATGTTATAATTTCTGCGGCCTCATCTTTAAATTGAATAAGGTTTTTATCAGGATACTCGTTAGAAGAAAAAAGCTGTGTAGGGGGCCTGTACTCATACTCTTTACTGGGAAAGTTTTCGAGCTTAGGACGCTTTAAACTGTCACTGGATTGCAATAAAATATGTTCGAAATTGGCATGCAACAAGAAGTCCAAAGGTTCATCAATAATCAAAACAGCTCCTTTTCCTCGAAACTCAAAAGTTGTGAGGTGACTGAATTTTCGCAGACTGCTGGAGTTTACTGTGAATTTAAGTAGTATATATATATAACGTATGCATATGAAATAAAAAATAAAAAGAAAATATATCAGTCATACATAACGATAAATCTTACATAAAAATTGATGTTCATGGCTGCCAATGTACAGCAAAATTAATGCTTTCAAATCTATTGGAAGCGCATTAAGTAAATTGCTAGTCTCGCTTTTTATCTGTAAAAGGCACGTGGCAAGTTTTGCGTGTGCTGGTAGTTGAAACATGTCATTAACATTTTTTTTAGTCGTATTCGTTATCCAACGTGCAACAGGTAGCTCATCAAAGGGTGCATGTTGACACACACAGTTATTTGGGCATCTTAGTTCATAAAATTCTGGATTACTATCGGTCAACGGTCCATAATTTAAAAAAGATCCTTCAATGCCCTTAATTAATTAAATAATTAAATATTAGCATTTTAAGTACCGTATATATAACTTACGATCGTCAGAATAAGCATTATGACCGGACTTATCATTTTGACTCAAAAGTTAAACGACCTTTTGACTTGATATGGCCAAGGGACGATCATAAACTAAAGCGAAGCTCCCGTGTGACGGTTTGATGTTGCCTAAGTGTTTTATATCTGGGTTTGAGTTCCACATACCCGCTACTTGAAATGTAAAAGGGTATATATCGCAAAACCGCTGTACGTTTTGAATTTCTTAAGTCAATAACTTTTTGCAATCCAACATTTTTCACCAATACAAAAATGAAATAAATAAAAAATATTAAAATATTTGTCTGTTAAATTAAAGTACTTCCTACATTCTCCTGAAAAGAAAACATTTTGAAGTAAATTAATCGTTTTAGTTATCATTAAGTTAAAATATGGCCCTGATTGATTTTGATTTTTTAATTAAATTCTTAAAAGCTGTTTATTTATAAAAAAAGATTTTTTTAAGAGGTATCCCAGACATGCATGATACAACCATACAATTTAATCGGGTATTTTTTAGTGGAGGGAGCCACCGACATGTGTAGTTGTAATTCATTATGCTGAAGGGAAGTTCTCGGATAAACACATCCTCATACGATAAGAAATTAGAAGACTTATTTTATTGACAAGTTTACACCAAAAGAAAAATTTAACACAACAATATGTAAAAAAAACTTTTTTTTTAAATATATTGTTGTAATCTGATCTCAAGTTAAAAACTTCATTCTGGAAACAACTTTAATTCGCGTAATAACTGAATATTGTTATATGTATTAGTGAAATCTGCACCCGATTTCCTTTTTTTACGTTATAGTAAACTGGCAAACAACACCCACTTTAAATATATAAAATTAAAAAGTTTCAAATTATACTTGAAATTTGTATTAAAAAGTTAATAAATTTTCACAAAGCGACGAAAAATGTTTTTTTTTTTGGCGTTAATGTTATAAAAGGAAAGTTTTTTACAGTAGAATAGACATAGACATATAATTAGACCCTATAGAAAGCATATATGTATTCTTGATCAGTAAATCTGGGCGTGTGTCAATATAGTTTTTTTATATACGAGTTCATTGCAGTTTTACTATTTACATGCAGGCGCAGCTTAAAAATTAGTGGCTTAAGGGGGTAAGGTTTTTGTTCTAAAAGACCAATATATCGAGAATATTGTGTAGAAATGAGTCAATTAGAGTCAAACTATCGGAGTTACAGCGTGTTAAACGACCGAATTTATATTATATTGAAAGTCGGTAAACATGAGAACTCAAAATCTACTGAACCGATCCTCTTCAAATTTTTATCACAAATTCTCCACATAAATACGCAGGTAATCAGGAAGAGCTTTTTTTTAATTTTTTCTATTTTTATACCCTTGCAGAGCAAAAGGGTATTATAATTTCAGTCAGAAGTTTGCAACGCAGTGAAGGAGACACCTCAGACCCCATAAAGTATATATATTCTTGATCAGCATCACGAGCAGAGTCGGAATACGTCTGTCCGTCTGTCTGTCTGTCCGTCTGTCTGTTTCTATGTAAACTAGTCTTGATGATTTTTTAAATATCAAGTTTTTTAACAACCCTTATATTGAGAAAAAAGTTTCATAAAAATCGGAAAACTATTTCTTATAGCTGCCATAGGAAAGATCGAAAAATCTATATAGAAATAATGGAAATAAAATTATTACATCGTTGGTTTTTATTAGATAAGCATGATTTTTGGAATATAAAGTTTTCTAACGACTCTTGAATTACGAATTAAATTTGATCAAAATCGGACAACTATATCATATAGCTCCCATATGATCTATAGTCGAAAATATGGAAAATGAATAGAAAAATCGTCTTAGCTTCGATGTTGTTTAGCCTTTATGTATTTTATTCGACATATTTGATGACTGCAAGGGTATATAAGCTTCGGCTTGCCGAAGCTAGCTTCCTTTCTTGTTAATAAATAAATTAAATTAAATTTTCACTTCCAAGTGCTGCCAAAAATAGACAAAAAACAAAAAAAAAACTCTTTTTCCTGATTAACTCGAAAAATACATTATCATTAAAAGGCATTTAAATTTTTTTGTTTCGGTTATATCGGTAGCGAGTTATGATGTTCATCGCCAAACACATTTGTTTCTAGGCGTTTCTGAAGATTAACCATCACACTCTTATTTCTAAATATTTTTCATTAAAATTTTGTTCTAATACTTTTCAAAAGTTGAGCAATAATATGTCAAATAACTTAATAAAATTAAATTACTCATTTCGCCGCAAAAAAACACACAAATACAGCCTTTTTTAGCCATTAAAACCTTACCCCCTAATAAAACAAGCAGATGAATAAAACAAGAAAGGATCAGCATCACGAAGAGAATTGAATTACTTCTTTACGTCTGTCCGTCTGTCCTCCTGTCCGTCTATCCGTCTGTACGTCCGTCCGTACCTCCTGTCTGTTTCTATGAAAACTTGTCTCTCAGTTTTAAAGCTATCTTGCTGAAATTGTACCAAAAGTTGTGTAGTTATTGCACGCAGAGTATAAGTCGGAACGGGCCGGATTGGCCAACTATATCGGATAGCTCCCATGAACATTTTCACGACGTTGATTTTGATCAGATCGACTTGATTTATGAAATAAATAATATGTTCCTTGTTTTACAACTTAAGTGTTGTTATAAAATAGTTTAGGTTGTACTACTTTCCATTTTCTTTTTCTTACACTTAAGCTGTCCAATAAAAGTGACACTTGCTGTGAGCATGAATAAAATCATATCAGTTGATTTATTCGAGTTGATTGCTGTTCTTCTTAATGGCTTCAAATGGCTGAATAAAAAAAATATATATATTTCTCGCATTTGAGTGGTTCAAACTCAACATAAAACAAGAAAGGAAATAGCTATATGATATAGTCGTCCGATTTTGATGAAATTTAATTCGTAAATCAAGAGTTGTCAGAGAACTCTATATTCCAAAAATTATGCTTGTCTGATAAAAAAAAACTATGTTATAATAATATTTCCGTGATTTTTATATAGATTTTTCGATCTTTCTTATGGCAGCTATATGATAACGATGTCCGACTTTAATGAAATTTTTTCTCTATTTAAGGGTAATTAAAAAAACTCTATATTTTGAAAATTATGCCCACGAGCACTTAAAAAAACGATAATTTTTTCCATTATTTATATTTATATTTTTTGATCTTTTCTATGGCAGCTTTATGATAGAGTTACCCGATTTTGATAAAATTTAGTACAAAGTTCAATAGTAGCTAGAGAACACCATCTGGAAGTTGATCTGATCAAAAACAACTGCGTGAGAATTTTTTACTTCATTCTCTTATATTGGAGCTATCCAATATAGTCAGTCGATCCGGCCCGTAACATGCTCCTAGTTAACATACCCCTTTCACTGGCCACAGGGAAACAGCGCAGACCCGGCAAATGCAAGACTAGTGCTGATGGACAACAACAAATATCGCCAACATGCCAGAACTCTGACAAGCACACACATTCTCGCAAACTTCTAATTACTTTGCAATAAAGCATTACTCTTATTTTGTACTCCAAGCAACACATTCGTTTTCTTTACAAGCTTCTTTTTCAGCATTTTCCAAAGATATATTCACTAATAGGAGACCCCCTCTAATTTCTTGGTCACAGGACTGTAACTGTCGCAGCCGACCTACGAACAAGGGATTAGCAATGCCCACTACGCTTATCGTTCCAATTTCCTGAGGTGAGTCATCAGGTGACAGCGGTTGTTGTGAAAATTTTAGTAGTGAGTGGTGAAATAATATTAATACATACATGTTTAAAAGAGAGAAAACCTGCAAAAGGAAAATAAAACATATTCATGTGCAAGTGCAAATGAGAGTTCAAAAGGGAAGGCACAGCAAGCAGCGTGGCCGGCATTTAACATAAGGGGATGGTACACAAAAATGTGCAAATATATCGACTCCGTTTCTCTTTCTTTATTATCTGTATTATTTTGTGTTGTGTGGGGTTGCCAATTTGATCGAAATCATCTCTTCCTTACATTCGGTCATCCTGGCTACTGGAGTCTGTCCCAGACGACAAGCAATCCTCGTTCCAATTGGCGTATTTCCACAATTTCATATTGTCAGAGCTCGTTGTTGTAATATTTGGCCCTTCCACTTAAGCAGCTTTCCTAACATTGTAGCGGCCATTTCTTTTCACCTTCGTCACTTCGTACGGTCCAAGAAAGGTACTGACGAGTTTTTTCCCAGCAATGAATTGGATACGTTTTATTGCGACTAAATCGCCTTCTTTGTAGATGTTTTCTATCTTCCTGTGTTTATCATAGTTGGCTTTATAATTTGCCTGTGCCTTCTGGATCTCGATTTTGGCTGTTTCGCGTTCTTTAGCTCTTTTGTTGTCGAAGTCATTCAACAACTCTTGTTCCAGAACTGGCAAGAGATTATGAATACGCGCGTAGTCACACGACCCACCACCCGCTCAACCGACCGAGGGGCGACAGCCGTGTATCGTACGGCACGATTCGCGGAAAATTTGACGCAATGTTAAAAGAAGGAAGGAAAAAAATTAAAAACGAAAGAAATTTTAAATTTAATTTTAATTTTAAATTTAACGATCTAATTTTGTGCCAGAAATGTTAATACTAATTGCTTAAGGGGTTATATACATACCTTCTTTGTCGAAGAAAAGAGGAAAGTTCGGATTTTTTTAGTTGTATAGCAATTATTTAATTACACGGATGTTTTAATTTTTTGATAGTACACTTTATTAACAATGTTTGTGCAAAATTTCGTGGAAAAATATTAAATAGTTTTTAAGGGGTGGCTGTTTCCCTTAGAGGCCTTTTTTTTTGAAGAGCCTTGCGGTGATAATTCCCCAGGTCGAACAGGTCAACCGAAACCATAAAAGTAAAAAAAATTCATTAGTTTAGTGTAATTCCTTGTTTTAAGATTGTTTTTTTTATGCATACGGGAACGTTTTATGCTAAAAATGAACTTTTTTGTCTCTAGAAATTTCACTAAAAAATTCATTTCGGCGAAAAAACAAGTTTGTGCGTGAAAAATCGATCGTTCAAGCACAAGATAATTTCATTACGAACATTTGAAAAAAAAATTGAAGTAAAT